CTTGGCTGTTGGCTGAGGACCAGCCCTCTCCCTGGTGCTTCCCAAAGCCCCTTTGCCCCTTCGCTGCCCACGCAGCAGCAGCGAGCCGCGTTCAATAAAGCACCTTCTGCTTTTGCTAATTGAAGAGTTTCCCTTTGTCAGCCTCTCGGCTCAAAGGAGGGTCGGTACAAAGCCATAGCCATCAGCACTTTGTGCGCCTCTGAAAATCCCATTAGCAGAAGAAAGAGCTTGAAGTTTCATTCAGCTGGAAAAAAAAAAAAAAAGGCAAAAAAATAAAATATCAGCCACCCCCCCCAACCTTCTGATCTATCAGCTGCACATTAACATACTGCCCTCAGCACCGCCGGGGTCCCTGTCCCGGGAATATTTACTCAGGGTGAAGTGTTATATTGGACTGAAACGTATTTGCTTGAGGGAGCGATACGCTGATAAATGGGTTGGCGGTTAAAGCTGGGGAAAAAAACCTGCTATCGGCAAATAAAATCCTCTCCCGCTCTCCGGGTGCCCCTGCTTTCCCCAGGCTGTTTTCCTGCCTGCGGGATGTTTGTTCCAAGGGGAGTTGGGGTGTGGGGGGACCAGCCCGGGGCGGAGGGTGTGGATGGAGCTGGGGGGGGACACATTCGCCATCGCCTCGCTGGGGAGGGCAGCGTGGGGGGGCCGTGCCTGTGCCAAGATGGGGAATGCTGGGGCTGTGGGTAGCGGGGTGTTTGGGCAGGTGGGGGCTGCTGCCTGCACCGCGGGGGAGCTTTGGTGGGTGCAGCTCTGGTGCTGGTCCCCCACATCTCCCTCCCGGCTGCACCTCGTGCCCCGTCTCAGCAGGTTGTGGCATTTCGGGGTGCTGCGCTCTCCTGGCTTCCCTCTGCTTGCAATTAGTTACTGGTGCCAGTACGCTAATGAGCATCAAGGGGCACCCATGGCTTTGTTGGGAGGAGGACGAGGACAGGGAGGGTGCCCTTGGTGCCGTCCTGTGCTGTTCCTCCCATTTCAGCCACCGCTCAGCCCTTTGCCCTGGACACCGGGCTGCGGTGAGCCTGGATCTGCTCAGCTGCCCTGCGTGGGTGTTAGGGCTGCTCTAGGTCTTGGAGAGGGAGGAGGTGAGATCAGAGCGGCTCCAAGCAGATCATGGTTGTGTGCCCATCTCTGCTCGCTCAGGAGCTTGCGGTCCCCAGCCAGCACCAAGCAGCTGCCCGCCGTGGCAAAAGCATCACTCAGGTCCTGTGCCCAGCTGAGACAGAGCCCATGGAGAAGAGCCAGGCTCAGTGCAGGGTCTTCTCCACCGCCACAAAAGAATTTGCACAAAGCTTTGCCTGTCTGGGGAAGCATCCGTCTGTCTCTGCAAGTTTTGACCCAACCCAGCAGGCTGCTCTTGAGCCTCCTCGCTTCCCTGCTGTGGATCTCGCACAGCCCATGCAGACGCACGCTTCTTCTGTCGCCCCTTTGGGATCTTACAGGTTTGTTGGGGGTTTTTAATTCTTTACTTTCCGAAGGGCTTTGCGGTTCCTCACTGGCAGAGCCGTGGACATGCTGGCTCTGCGGCGGGATGCTTTCCAGCCCCTCGAGCCGGGGAATGCCTGCGGATCCCCCACGGCTGCTGCTCCCTCCTCTAGCTGCCCTCCGCGCCTGCCCCCGCAGGACTATATTTGGGCTAATTATTCCAGCCCATAGACCCAACCTGACAGTTGGAATGTCTATCCCGATATCTTGTAAACATTTCTTCCGATTAAAAGATCCAGATTGCTGACAACCAAGCCGTGACTCAACCCCATGTGATTTCCCATGAATTCGCCCAGGATGGGTGGCAGGAGCTGCCAGCTCCAGCCCCGCGTGCCCGATGGGGAGGCACCTGCTGATTCATCCTCACCTTCTTCTTCCCCAGCCAGATAACGCTACAGCACGGGCTCTCAAACACCACCCGCGACCGCGTTGCAGCGAAAGCTCTTGTCTGCCAAGGGCCACGCTTATTTTCCTAAAGTCTGGAAGCTGCTGCCTGCAGCCAGGCAGGAGCGTGGCCCCGACTGCCTGTGGGTTGTGGCAGCCGATGGGGGGGTTTCCCCGGTAGGGTGGAAGATAACCCTGGCACTGCGTTGCACCGGCTTCTGGATTCCACATCGCTGTGCCCCAGGCCATTGGGAGCTGGCTGGAAATGCCCCCTAGAAAGACGCAGAAATTGGGTACCAGGTTTAAACCATCCCTATGTGGATTTGCTGCAGCAGCACACTTTATTTTGCCCCAAAAGTGACAGCATCCAAAGTCTGTCCCAGTACATCAGCTCTTTAAAATTGCTCCAAGAGGCAGCAGTCAGGGTAGGGGATGGGCTCTGCTGGCCTTCATAGTCTTTAAAGGCTTTTAGGCAGTTGGTTAATGGTTTTGACAGTCTTAATTTGGACTGGGAATGAAAAGTTCAAGGAGTGACTTCAGGGAAACACCCCTGGGGTACACCGTGACATGGTTAATAGAAAATTGTAATGTTGTTAAAGTGCTTTTCTGTAAAATGCCAGGGGAGGAAATTAAAAGTGTGGGGTTGTGTTTTTTTTTTTTCCTAAAAGTTGATATCATTCTTTAAATTTAGTTTTTTAATCCATCACATCAGCACTCGGCACTCTTGCCGTGCAACTTTCATTTTATAGTGGCCTTCGCATAGCCGTAGCCGCTGATGTCCGCGTGGGGAGAACACGCCGTCGGTTTGCCGTGCAGGTATCTAAACAGCAGGCAGGCTTTCCATGCAAAACCAGATAAAGTCTAACCTGGAGAAGCTGGTGTGTGCCTTGCCTTAAAGACCAGAATAACCTTTCTGATTCAGCGGTGGCTGCTCACGGATGCCGGTCTGGGTCCGTTGCTTCCTTGACGGGGTACCGTGCAGGTGGTTCGAGAGGGTGAGCATGCTGGTGATCCTGCTCAACTGCGTGACGCTGGGCATGTTCCACCCCTGCGAGGACATCGCCTGTGACTCACCGCGCTGCAGGATCCTCCAGGTATGACCTGACCGCTGCTTTAGCTTAACAGCGGCCCCGGGTTGATGGGGAGTGGGAAGGACCGAGGTGCGGCAGAGCTGGCTCCAGCTGCCGCAGAGGTGGCTTCATGCCCCGGCATGGCTGGATCCTGCCAGCACTTAAAAAATGACGATTTTGGTGCTTGAATGTGAACACACGGTGTCATCAGGCAAAGCCCCTGCCAGGCTGTGCCAGCCCCAACGTAGCCAAGCCTTGCTTGGAGTGCTTGGGGAGGGTTAATCATCTAGTTTATGGTGAAAGCAGAGCCCAAAATATACTTGTCCCTTTATCCTAGCACCGTGGGTGCCGTTGGCCAGTCTGGGTTGGGGGAAGACAGAGGACTGCTCTCAGCACTGCCGCTGCCCAGGGTGTTTAGCTCTTGCTGGTGCAAGAGGAGACCTTGTTGGACTCAGGTCTCTAATTCCCTGCCCTGGTGTGAGCGCGCAGATATGCAGGAGTGTCCTTCCTCCCTTCCTTTCTTTTGCAGAGCTTCGATGATTTCATCTTTGCCTTCTTTGCCGTGGAAATGATCGTCAAGATGATCGCACTGGGGATTTTTGGGAAGAAATGCTACCTGGGAGACACGTGGAACCGCCTGGACTTCTTCATCGTCATTGCGGGGTAAGTCTGGCGTGGCGGGTGCCCCTCTCCTGTGCCTCTCTCTTGTTATTTATGGCGCTGCTTGGCAAGCACTGGATTTGGGGAAGTGGCTGGTTTGCCGTGGTGAATCACAGACTGGTCGGGATTGGAAGGGACCTCTGGAGATCATCTAGTCCAACCCCCCTGCCAAAGGAGGTTCATCTACAGCAAGGCTGGGGGTTTGCTGGGCATTGGTGCCATCGGCGTTGTCCCTCCCAGCTCTGCAGCAGGGGTCACTGCCCGGACCACAGCACTCCCTCCGGTCCTCTCCATAGCTCACGGGGGAGCTGATGCTCAGCTCACGCAGAGAGCAGGGCAAGGTGACAAAAGCTGTTTGTGGTGGATTTTGGCCAGCCCATGCCCTGGGGCTGCTCGCCGGGTGCTGGGCTCAGCTCTT